CAGCATCACATCAGCATCCATCATCATCAGCATCAGCAATCATCATCAGCAGCATCCAGCATCATCATCATCATCATCATCATCATCATCATCATCATCATCATCATCAGCATCATCATCATCATCGTCATCCTCATCATCATCAGCATCAGCATCATCATCATCATCAGCAGCATCATCATCAGCATCAGCATCATCATCATCATCAGCATCGTCGTCATCATCATCATCGTCATCATCATCATAAACAGCATCAGCATCAGCATCATCATCATCATCACCGTCGTCATCATCATCATCATAGTCATCATCAGCATCATCAGCATCGTCATCATCATCGTCATCATCAGCAGCATCATCATCGTCATCATCAGCAGCATCATCATTCTCATCGTCCTCATCATCATCATCAGAATCCCGCATCCCTCCTCCTCCCATCCCCCCTCCTCCTCCTCCCCCTCCTCCTCCTCCTCCTCCTCCACATCCTCCTCCTCATCCTCCTCCTCCCTCATCGTCCTCCTCTTCCTCCTCTTCCTCCTCCTCCCTCTCACCCTCCCTCCCTCCCGCCCTCATTCTTCCTCCTCCTCCTCCTCCTCCTCCTGCTCCTCCTCCTCCTCCTCCTCTTCCTCCTCCTCCCTCCCTCCCTCCCTCCCTCTGTATTCCGTCCTCCGTCCTCATTCCTCCCTCCTCCCGCTCTGTCCTCCGTCCTGCCTCCTCCCTCGTCCGTCCTCCCTCCTCCGTCCTCCCTCCCCACTCTTCACAGTTACACAATATGAATACTATTATCCTCTCTCCCCAGATTCTGTGGCGGAATATGTCTCGGAGTGTTCGAACCTCCCTCGCGTATTGTTTTTTTCCAGGATGTCGGCGAGTTGGGTTATCGCTGGTATTTTGTTTCAAAATGCTGCTCTCGCGGAGGTGCGGGCATCATTTTCGGGCTTCCGCTCGTTGCGAATCGTGCTACCGCTGCAGCGCTGGCGTCATTTCCGCGCTTCCGCTCATTCCGAATTGTGCTCCCGCTGCAGCGCTGGCATTATTTCCGCGCTTCCGCTCGTTCCGAATCGTGTTCCCGCTGCAGCACTGGCGTCATTATTTCCAGCGCCATGCGACGGCATGGTTTTCGGTCCTTCCACATAGGACCCATAGAAAATGGCCCCCGAAGCAACCATCGGAAGTGGTTACCCATTCGGTGCCGATTCGTTGATTTTTGGGGCCGCAGAAGCCCCCCCCCACTTTGGGGCGTCAAGCTACGCGTTGATCTTCAACACCATGCTATGTCATGTAATGCTATGCCCTGGTACGACATCCGACTGTGCGAATAGACAATCGATCTACGCCCCGGCAAGGGATGGGAGGGAGGGGTAGGACGTCAGATATGACGCGAGCGCACCTAGCTTGCCTCGTTTCCCCTCCCTCCTCCCTCTTCCTTCCTTCCGCCTCCCTCCCCCTTCCTCCCTCCTCTCTCCTCGCTCCTCCCTCCTCCCTCCACCCTCCGCACTCCTCCCTCCTCCATCCTCCATCCTCCCTCCTCCCTCCTCCCTCATCTCTTCCTTCCCCCTTTCTCATCCTCATCTCCATCCTTTCTCCTCCCTACATCCTACCTCCTCCCTCTTCCCTCCTCCCTCCGTCCTCCTCCATCCCTCCTCCTCCCCCTCCCTCCACCCTACCTCCTCCCTCCTCCCTCCTCCCTCCTCACTCCGCCATCCTCCCGCCTCCTTCTTCCCTCCTCCCTCCTCCCTCCCCCCCTTCCGCCCTGCGCACTCCTCCTTCCTCTCCTCCCTCCTCCCTCTTTCCTCCTCCTCCTTCTTTCCTTCTCTTTCCTCCCTCCTCCCTCCTCCCTCCGCCCCCCCTTCCTCCCTCCGCCCACCGACCTCCTCCCTCCCTCCTCCCCCCTCCCTGGGCCTGACCAGCTCAGCGCCTGGCTCGAGCGGCAAACTCGGGGCGCGGGCTCGGCGCCGCCCGCGCCGCGGTGGCGCGCCCCGCCCGCGCAAAGTTGGGCCGCGCGGCAGGCCTCCGCACCGCCGCGCTGCAGCGTCGCTGCGGGGCTCTGGCGGGTCGCCTGCGCCTGCGCCTCCTGCCAGGAGCGCCCCAGGCCTCCAGCGCGAAGGCCGGGAGTGCTGGGCCGCGCGGCGGTGCCTCTTTCCCTCCTGGGCCGCCGCGGCAACGCCGTTCCGAACGGCGCGGCTCCGGCCCGCCGCCGCGCCCGCGCCGAGGGAAGCGTCACCGACCACCACGTCGACGCAAGGCACGAAAGCTGCAGGGTCTGTGGAGGCCACATCGAGCCAGGCTGCCTCGACGTGCCATTCCGGCGCCGCCTGGGAAGGCCGGGACATACTGCTCCGCGGTCACGGGCGCGCAGCCGATGCGCCAACCAGCCCCCAGCGCCGCTATGGCGCTTGATCGCGAAGCTTCCGACGTGGCGGCCCAGATGGTACCCTGGCCCAACTGCCAAGCCGGCCCCGCTGCGCGAGGAAGCAGGTTGCGCTTGCGGCCGCAGCCTGAAGCGACCGCAAGCGCAGCGGGTCCTAGGCCCGCGGTTTTTCTGACGAGGTGATGGCGCCATTTGTTTCGATGGCCTCTGGAGCCTCTGGAAGGCACCGTGAGACCGCAAGGAGGGCGCCTTCGACTGATTGGCACATTGGCTGCGGCACACCCGCGGCTACCAAGGCCGTGCACCTTGATGTCGCGGTCGGCCGGACCGAACCCATGACCCCGCCCCTCTCCCTCTTTCGAGGCGAAGGAGTCGGCCACACTATCGGCACCGTCGCGTCGGCGAACCAGCTAACCAGAGCGGGGACCACCAGGTGCCACCCCCAACAGCGAGAGGGCGCGCCCCGCGCGTGCTCGTGGACGCGCACGAACGCGCGTCCTTTCGCGGCCACAGAGCTAGGGAAGGCGGGACCGCTGCGCCCCAGAGATCCGAGAAGGTCCCCGGGCAAGCCCCCCGCGACTGCAGGATCGCGCGCAGGAAGATCACCTGGACTCGGGCAGAGAGCTTGCCCAGACCCGGGTCGGCGGATGGCCCCGAACAGCAAGCGTCAGAGAGAGCAAGGGCCAGCAATACAAGCACGGGAGGACGGGGAGGACGAGGAGGTGGAGGAGGAACGCAGGTGGCTGGGGACGATAGGTGACGGCTTAGCCGCTCGCGCCGATGGCCAGCTTCGTGGCGCGAGGAAACCGCAGATGGGCTTCCAGATCGCCAAGCCGAGAAGGCGTGGAGGAGGGGGTTGAAACATCATACGGTGGCCACATGTCCTCATCATTGCCGCCGTTGCCGCTATCGACGAGCACCGCTGGAGAGCAATTCGACAGCCTGCAACGCAGCACGAGCTCACAAGTTCGTCTGCTGAACAGACATGGATCAAAGGTGACGTGCTATCTTACGGGACGGGAAAATGACCACAGTCACTGCTTCTTGTTTGCGCCGCCTTCCAGCCGGCCGAAAAAGAAGCAGTGATTGTGGTCATCTCCCTGGTGCCAGGCTTAACGAAAATGACCACAACCACTGCTTTGTTTCTGCTGGCTGGAAGGCGGCAACAAAAGAAAAGCAGTGGCTGTGGTCGTTGTCACGTCCCGTATATCTTTGTGGGCCATACGATACATATGGCAACATAGTGCTACGTAATTGAAAGTTTCGGGTTGGGGGTGGATCAAGCCCAGAGCGAGGGGCAAATCAAAACGGAACCACGAAAATCATACATATACGACCACCGTTCCGGGTGATAAAGAGGTTGTGGGGCAGCATCGGCTTGGCCGTGTACCTTTCACTCGGGACACCCATCACAAACGCAGCGCGCGCCTTGTAGCGACCGCCCCTGCGAGGCCGCCAGCGCCCCATCGTTGGGCGCGGCGCCCCCAGGGGGCGGGCCGCGCGCGTGGGCCCGCGCAATCGCCGCCCACTGCGCGGCGCCCACCCCCCGGCAAGGTCACCTGGGTGCGGACTACACCCGGGGGCGGTTGATGGGGGGAGAAGATGCCACACACCCCGCTGGCAGCTCCGATGGCCGGCAGGAAACAAGAAGAACCTTCGCGCCGCGCTCGCCGCGCGTGCGAAGCCGAGCCGCCGCGACGCGACGCGGGATCCCAGCCCCCCCTCCCGAGCCCCCCACGTACCACAGCCATAAACGGTAAGACCAGGACGGTTGGCATGTGGCAGTGCTCCGTCGGGCGCGGCCAGAGCCCCCAACAGCAAAAAGCGACCACGGTCAGCCGTGCTGGGCTGCAGCACTGAAAGTGAGCAGTATCCCCGCCCCTTCTGTCTCCGAAGGCCCACGCCCAAGGAAGGCCATCATTTTCCTCCTGGTCCGGCTCGCACTCCGCCACGTCCTCCCTCCTGTTCTACTGTTGCTCTTCCCACCCTCCTCCCACCTTCTATCTCCCTCCTCCACCTTCCAACTTCCACACTCCCCTCGCAATCCCTCCCCCCATTCCACCTTCCACCTCCCCCACCTCACCCGAACCACGACCACGATAATCGCCCAATCGCCACCATCACCATTATCATCAGCATCAGCATCAGCAGCAGCAGCATCATCAGCATCATCACCACCACCACCACAAACACCACCAGCATCATCACCACCACCACTAGCATCATCATCATCATCATCATCATCATCATCATCATCATCATCATCATCATCATCATCATCATCATCAACAGCAGCAGCATCAGCACCATCATACCATCATCAGCAGCAGCAGCATCAGCAACAGCATCATCATCATCATCATCATCATCATCATCATCATCATCATCATCATCATCATCATCATCATCATCATCATCATCATCACCATCATCATCAGCAGCATCATCATCAGCATCACCATCATCATCCTGCTACACCTCCTCCTCGCTCCCTCTCCTCCTCCTCCTCCTCCTCCTCCTCGCTCCCTCTCCTCCTCCTCCTCCTCCTCGTCCTCCTCCTCCTCGCTCCCTCTCCTCCCCGTTCCCCCTCCTACTCGCTCCCCCTCGCTCCTCCTCGCTCCGCGCGCCGTGCGCCTGCCCCCGCACGCCCGCGCCGCCGGCACCGCGGAAGGAGCGGCCCCTAGCCGGCGCGGGGGGGGGGGGGAGGGGATGGGGGGAGGGGGCGGGGCCGAAGGAGGACGACGGCGAGGAGAACGAGGAAGGAGGAGAGAGAGGGGACGAGGGGGGAGGGGAGGAGGGAGGAGGGAGGAGGGACGAGGGAGGGAGGGGGGGGAAAGCGGAGGGGGAGGGGGGAAGGAGAGGGGAGAGGAGGGAGAGGAGAGAAGCAGAAGTGGAAGGGGGGGAGGAGAAGAAGGAAAAGGACAAAGACGAGGGAACCGAGGTAGAGGGAGGTAAGGGGAAGGGGAAAAGGGAGGTCAGAATGAGAAGGGAGGGCAGGACATATCTTTTTGTATGCGCATGCTGTGTGTGTGGTGTGTGCTTGTCTTATGTGTTGTACGGTATGTGCTGCTATGGGTTGTAATGTATTGTATGTGCGCGTAGGTGCACGCGCGGGTGTGTGCGCGTGGGTTGTGTGTGAAGTGTGGTTTGGGAGGTGTTATGTGTCATGTGTGTTATGTCTCGTACGCGTGTTGTGTGTTGCGTGTGTCGTGTTCGGATCCAGCTGGCACGGCCCCCGCGCGCCTGAATGACTTGACCAATGCCGTGCCGCCGCGGGCGCGCGGGCGTGAGTGCGTGCGTGTGCGCATGCCCGTGCGTGAGCGTGTGCTTGTGCGCGAGCGCGCGCTTGTGCGCGAGCGAGTGCGTGTGCGTGCGCGCGTGCGCGCGTGCGCGCGTGCGCGAGCGCGTGCGTGTGCGTGCGCGCATCAGTGCGCGCGTGCGTGCCAGTCCGCGTGCGCGTGCGTGTACGCGTGCGAGTGCGCGGGAGGCCTCTGAGGCGAGGAGGCGGGGGAGGAGAAGGACGAGGAGGAGGAGGTGGTGGTGGGGGAGGAGGAAGGGTTAGGATGCGTGGGGAAGCTGTCGGGACTTTTCGGGGGCTTCTGGGGGTCTTCGGTGGCTTCTGGAGGTCTGATGGGGGGAGGCGGAAGAGATGAGAGAGCAGGAGGGAAGCGACCAGGAGAAGCAGGAGGAGCAGGAGGAAGGAGCAGCACGAGCAGGAGGAGCAGCAGAAGCCATCTGCGGAGCGGCAGCCGTGGTTGGACGCGGAAGGGGCCCAGATCTCCGACGTCGTGACTTGTTCCACACGTGGCCCCCGCACGGCAGGCTCAAGTCGCAAGGACGCCGGCGTTGGTTAAAAAATCTATGTATGTACCGCATAGACCACAATCAATATCACAATCGATCCCACAATCGATCTCACATTCGGTTTCGCTATTGATGTCACAATCGATATCACAATCGATCTCGCATTCGATCCGACTATCGGTATCACTATCAAACTCACTATCGATCTCATTATCGATCTCACATTCGGTCTCAGTATCGATCTCACTATCGTTATCACAATCGATCTCACAATCGATCTCACATTCGGCCTCACTATCGATCTCTCTATCGAGCTCACTGTCGATCTCATTATCGATCTCACGATCGATCTCGCAATCGATATCACAACCGAACTCACAATCAATCAATCTCACATCCGGTCTCATCATCGATATCACTATCGAAATCACAACCGATCTCATTACCGATAGTGATCTCACTACTAACTCAATCGATCGATCTCACAATCGATATGACTATCGATCTCACAATAGATTCCACAATCGATCTCACATGCGGTCTCACTATCGATCTCACCATCGATATCACAAACGATCTCACAATCGATCTCCCATTCGGTCTCACAATCGATCTCACTATCGATCTCATTATCGATCTCACCTACGGTATCACAATCGATCTCACAATCGATATCACAAGCGATCTGACATTCGATCTCACGTTCGATCCCACAATCGATCTCACTATCGATCTCATTATCGATCTCACATTCGGTATCACAATCGATCTCACAATCGATCTCACAAGCGATCTGACAATCGATCTCACATCATCGCCATCATCAACATCATCATCATTATCACCATCATCATCATCATCACCATCATCATCCGAATCATCATCATAATCATCATCAGCATCATCATCGGGACACCGACGGGACACGGACGGGACACCGGCGGGACACCGGCGGGACACCGCGGGGCCCCGGCCGCCCGGAAGGGAATCATTTGGTCCGGCCGCGCCTCAGCCACACGGGACACCAGCGGGACACCGGCGGGACACCGCGGGGCCCCGGCCGCCCAGAAGGGAATCATTTGGTCCGGCCGCGCCTCAGCCACACGGGACACCAGCGGGACACCGGCGGGACACCGCGGGGCCCCGGCCGCCCGGAAGGGAATCATTTCGTCCGGCCGCGCCTCAGCCACAGGAGACTTTCTCTCGCCCGCCCACGCAGCTTCGCCTCGCCCGCACGCACGGCACGCACGAACACGAAACCGAAATCGATTTCCCGGTAAGGGGGCTCTCCGTTCCACTTCTATCTCACCCCCTCACCTCCGAAATAAAAATATACATCTATATATATATATATATATATACATGTTTTTGATCGTTTTACGCCAGCGTCGGCGTCGGCGTTGGCTTCTGAAACTGGGCGGCCTGCGTGACTTTGAACGCGCAAGGCTTCCCAACGGCGCAGATCGCCCAACGAAGGCCGAGAGCTCAGGCGGCTGTTGCAGGTCAGCCCGGAACGCCCGCGCCGGCGTCGCCTCCACGCGAGTGCGGCGCGAGCCTGCCGCACCCTCTGGACTCTTCCCCCGGGGCCGCCCTGTCGTCACGGATCGTTGTGGACGACCCCGTTCGGCACGCCAGGCACTTTTTGAGTCAGCGGCCGCGGGCGAGCGCGCCGGCGGCGAGTCAGGTCAAAGCGGGCTACGCAGAGACTAATCAGGCAGAGGAAACGCAAGACGCACGCCAGACACGCGGAAAGAAGCAGGGGGGGCGATGCCCAGCGGCAAGTGGTGCCCGCAGCCGACGGCGGCCAGTCGGGCAGGCCACGTCTGCCCCAGCCAGGCACGCTCCGCGGCGAGGCTAACGGCGCGCCCTGTCCAAGATGGGCAGGGCCTGCTGTTGGCCTTCGCCCCCACCTCTTCCGTCCCCGCGTCGCCCCTCCAGGGGCCCCGGGGAGCCCGAAGCGGGGCCTCCCCCCCAGACCTGACGCTGCAAAGCCAAAATGCAGCATCAAACAAAGGTATGCCACCAGAGCCCCGGACACCATGTTTCTGCTGCGTTCGTATGGTTCGAGCGGGACCAATCTTTCGGCTACACGCAAGAGTGACCCTGGGTAAGAGTGACCTTTGGTGCGCGGCTTTTTGGGGGCCGCGGGGGGCCAAACCCAGGCGCGCAAGCCGCTGCTCCTGCTTCGTTTCCAGCCATCTGGGGACCCACCTGTGCCCGCACCAAAGGTCACTCCGGCGAAAGGTCACTCCTACGTCTATAGGGGGCCACATGTGAACCCTACCCCTACCCCACACGATTTCTGAGGGGGAGGGTGGGGTTCACTCCCCTCAGAAATCGTGGGGGGTAGGGGTAGGGTTCGCATGTGGCCCCCTAGTCTAGTCGAATCTTGGAGGGTCCCTGGGCCCGCAGCTGGGCGACAACGCCCGTTGTGGCAGGACTGCCACGCCCGGATCCGAGGGCCCCCTGCGGGCCGAGGCCGGCGGGGGGGCGGCGGCGCGGAGGAAGAGACCACGGCGCCGCGAGCCCTGCGGAGGGCGGCGCGGGGGGGGGCGGGGGCGAGGAGGAGGAGGAGGAGGAGGAGGAGGAGCAGGAGGAGGAGGAGGACGGAGCGGAGGAGGAGGAGGAGGAGGAGGAGGAGGAGGAGGATGGAGGGAGGAGGAGGAGGAGGAGGAGGAGGAGGAGGACGAGCAGGAGGAGGAGGAGGGCGGGGGCGCGCCCCTGCGCCGCATCGCCGCCGCCCCCGGGACGCGCCGAGCCGCCCGGCGGGGGCGCCGAGGGACGCGGCAGCCCGGACCCGCCGGACGGGGGCAGCAGCTGCTGCTCCTGTCGGGCTGGGCGGCGGCGCCGGAGGGGTGTCGAGTGGGGCATCGACTGCAGAATCGATGTGCCCCGAACTCGATTTGTCCTTCGAATCTCAAAAGAGACGTAGAGTGTTCCGCCGAAATACGGAGCATAGACTTGACGAGAGCATCGACTTAGGCGTAGATCCATTATGTTGTCGATCCCCTCCTCGAGGGGGGGGGCGCAGCCAGAGGGGTTCAGCGGATCAGCTGCGTTTCGCTGGTTTCTCCGGCGCCGGGAGGCGCCCGTGATTTGCAGTGCATTGATTTGCGGTGGCTTTGCGCCGCGTTGAATTTCGACGCATACGCTTGAAAGTGCAAGTGGTGACTTTGCATTGTCATACTCTGCATGGCATTTACTCGACATGGTTTGCATTGATTTGGTCTGCGTGGATTACACTGAGTTGCATGGCTTTGCATTGAAATTGATTCGCATGATGTTAAATGTGGATTCCAGTGCAACTGCAAGGAAACAATGCTGTTGCAAACTCGTGCAATCGCAGTACATGGCACTACACTGAGCTCCAAAGCAAAGTCAAGAAAAGCGAAGTACTTCAGCCCAAGCAAAGCCGAAAACAGCAAAGCACCGAGAAGCAGCGCAACGAATTACAAAACAAACAGCGCGAACGAACGCAGTCTAAAGCAAGAAAGTGACTGTCGTGAAAATCCCATGTTCTCAACGCATAGCACAGCAATGCAGTAACACATGACAGCATGATAAGCATGGCTTGCATGAGCTGCTCGTTGGTATTATGTCCGGGTTGTCCTCAGCATTTCTCCACGAGCGAACAGCCCCACTTGGTGTCGCACCAAATTGGTTCGAGCTATGCGGGATTGCTCGGAAATGTGTCGAAGGTTTCTGGAACCTCCCTGGGAATTCTCAAAGTGTCCCAACAGACTTTCAGGAAACTTTCTGCCCCAACTGACCCACCGCCTCCGGAATCTGTGCTCACGCCCCCAAGAATCTGGCTCCAAGTCTGACGAGGAAGGGGTGAGAGGAGGGCGGAGCAGGAGGGAGGGAGAATGGAGCAGGAGGGACAAAGGACAACGGAGGAGACCCCCGTCCACATCTCTCCCATTCCCCAAAACTCACTCCCTCAATCACTCCATCCCTTCATTCCGCTATTCCGCCCTCTCCCTCTCGCTCCCTCCCTTTATTTCCCCTCGTATCCCCCCCCCTTCCCCTCACCATCCTCCAACTCCAGCTCCTCCTCCTCCTCCTCCTCTTCCTCCTCCTCCTCTTCTTCTTCCTCCTCCTCCTCAACCCACCCCTCCGCTTCCTGAAGCCTGAAGCCTGCGAATGAATTCATCCGATGGATCGAAGCCTTGCCACCCGCCCGGACTGAACTTTGACGGGCGGAGGGGGTTGCAACGCGCAACGCGAACGCCCAATCGGTTAAGGGGGTTCAGGGCGGGGCGATGACGACGACGTCGACGTCGAGGAAGTTGAGGGCGAGGACGAGGACGACGGCGACGACCAAGCGGAGTAGCCGCTAGCCAGACCGTTCAGTCAGACCAGCCAGGTTGACCAACCAGACCAGCTAGGTAGATTAGCCAGACCATCCAGACCAGCCAGCCGGTCGGACCAGCGAAGGACAGACCAGACTCAGCAGACCAACCTGCCCGGACCAAGCAGACTAGCCAGACCAGCCAGCCAACCTAGCCAGGTAGACCAACCAGACCAGGCAGACCAGCTAGCCGTTGCGCACCTCCGCAGGTGCAGCGCCATCGCGAGGAGGGAGTTTTTCGGCACGATGGAGGTGGTGCTGGAGCTCACCCGCTGGATTGCGCAGGCCTCCCTCATCTGGCAGGGCATCGAGGCCAAGGACTGCCAGGGTCTCCCCGAGGCGAGCGAGAGGCGGAGCGTCTCGTTCGCAGAGCCCGTGGTGGAGCAGCTGGGCCGCCAGCGGCGCCCAGGCGGAGGAGGTGCTGCAAGCGGCGCTGGCATGGAGGCAGCCTGGGCCTCGGCTGCACGCGCTGGCGGAGTCGCCCTCGGGGCGGTGGCCTTCTCCGTCGCTGGCCACGCCCTCTCCTGCGCCAGATGTGGTGCTGCAGACGAGGAGCAAGAGCTGGTGGCCTGCACCAACTGCGGCGCCTACGCAAGGCTCGGCGGCAGGACGGGAGTGAGGCCCAAGCTCAAGGACCGCTGTCCTGGCTCGGCTGGCCTGCCCAAGGCCATGCGGAACCAGACGTCCCTGTGGGAACGTGGCCTGCATCCCGCTGGCAAGGCCCACAGCGGCAACAAGCGGGCCAAGGAGTCGGAGGCCCCCCGTCTTCGCAAGGAGGCGACTGTCCCCACCGACGCCAGGATCCGCTTCCTGGACTGGCTCGGGATCCGCCCCCCCGACCTCGAGGGCGGCGAGCCTGCTGGGGCTGGTGGGCCCGCAGGCTGCCCTGGCGCGGCCGCCGCCGCCCCTGCGGCGTGTGCGGAGCCCGCCGCAGGCGCGAGCGGGCACGCGGCCAGCTCGCGGCAGGCCTGGCTCGACGCGTACGGCCTGGACGAGGCGGCGCTGCGGAGCTGGGCGGAGGCGAGCGAGGCTGGCCGTGCTGAGAGGCGGCGGAGGAAGCGGCCCCGCGACGACGATGGAGATAGCGACTGAGCGGCCGCGTGTGCCCCGCCTGGGGAGTTCGCGGCGCCGCTCTTCTTCCTGTGAGTGAGTCGGAGTGGTGCTGTTTCTAGCGTTTCGCGCCGTCTGTGCTCCCTGACCCCTGGGGCTCTTTGGCCCTCCTGGGGTGGCGTGAGGCCCGAGGGGGCCCGCGCCCGCTTTTCTTTCATTCTGGGGCTCGCGCGTGCTGCGCCGTGCGCGCCCTGCACGGGGACTGCCCTTGTAGGCCCTCTAGGACTGGCCCAGGGGTGGCCTCGGGCTTTGGCGCCTCAGTGGTGCCCCTCTTGCCTTTATAGGCTCTGCAGCCAGCGAAACCCAAACCAGACCAAGCAGACGAACCTGCCCGGACCAAGCAGACCAGCTAGACCAGCAGGCCAAACCGGCCAGGCAAACCAAACAGACCAGTTTAAGTCTCAAGCTGTAGCTTCAGTTCCAAACTCTGAGCCTGCTCAGCTGAAGCTTGGACAAGGGCGCGTCACATACAGATCAGAGACGGCTCCAACACGGCACTGCAAGGCTCAGTATGGCTTCCAAGAAGAGAGCTGAAGGATGTCCGGCGATACAAGGCGAAGCCCTCCAGATATGCAACTTGGGGTCAGAGGCAACAGAAGAATACAAATCCACACATCCTACAGAAAACTGATGCCCATGCACGCTGAAACTATTTGATTTGCCGTGGACGCCTGGTAGAAATCGTGACACAACACGTGGCCAGTGACCTTGTGCTTATCCCATCGCTCGCAACCGTTTGGTGTATCATTTCGCGGTCACGCAAGGGTGCTTGCAGTTTGGAATTTGGCACGGGCCCGTGCGTGCAGCCGTGCAGATAGCACTGAGCCCACGTGGGTCGTGCTGGAGCCAAAAAAAGGCTGCGGCCGTTGATGTCGTTTCTGTTAACATTTTGGGAGCAGGTGGTCTAAAGCGTTTGCTTTCCCCCCTCCTTCCCTTCCCAAATTATCCCAGTGCGACCCTACCTAGGAGTTGGAGCATTTAGGAAAGCAACATCTACATCTACACCGACAACTACATGTACATCTACACCTGCATCTACATCTACATCAACATCAACAGCGAGACTCACAGCTACATCTACATCTACACCTACATATACACATACATCTACATATACATCTACACCTACACCTACATCCACATGCGATGCTATGGTATGCTGCGCTATGCTATGCTATGTTATGCTGCGCTACGTTATGATATGCTATAATATGCTGCGCTATGATATGCTAGGCTAGGCTATGTTATGATATGATATGCTGCGTTATGCTATGATATGATATGATATGCTATGCTGCGCTATGCTGTGATATGCTGTGTTATGCTATGCTGTGCCATGTTATGCTGCGCTGCGCTACCGTAAGCAATGCTATGATATGATATGCTATGCTATGCTATGCTATGATATGCTATGATATGCTATGCTATGCTATCATATGCATAGATGCTATGCTATGCTGAGCTATGCTATGCTATGCTATGATATGCTTGGCTATGCTGTGCTAGCTATGATGTGCTAATGCTGCGCTGCGCCACGCTGCGCTGTGCTAAGCTAAGGCAAGCTAAGCTGTGCTAAGCTAAGCTAAGCTAAGCTAAGCTAGGCTAGGCTAGGCTGAGCTAAGCTAAGTTAAGCTAAGCCAAGCTAAGCTGAGCTGCGCTAATAAGCTAAGCAAATATGGTATAAGCTAAGCTAAGCTAAGCTAAGCTAAGCTAAGCTAGGGTAGGCAAAGCAAAGCTAAGGTAAGCTAAGCTAAGATGATAAGCTAAGCTAAGCTAAGCTAAACTAAGCTAAGCTGGGTGAACCCAGGGGGCGCGATGGGGGAACCGCGGGGCGGGGACCGGGGGAACCGCCCGGGGCGCTTTCCACTGCCTGGCCCCTTTAAGCTAAGAGAGTAAGAACCCTTCTAGGCAGAGCCTAGGTAGGGAAAAAATAAAATGTAAAAGAACACATTGCGCTGGACCAGCCAGACCGGCAAGACCACCAGAAAAGCATTGCTCCTAGGGAGGGGAGAGTTTAACACGCGGTAGTCGTCGTACCAATCCTCGTGTTCGTAGTTTCCGTTTTTTCTCATCTGTCTCGTCGCATACTTGTCGTGCTCATCCGTGGTCTGCTTTCTGTCTGCGTTCTGATATTTGTCCTTTCTCCCCCTCGCAACGTCGTTGCCCATTCGGCTTATGTTCCATCGGATTCCCATTCAATCCGGACCAGACCATCCAAACACCGGCGAGACCAACCAGACCAGCCATACCATGCACAAAAAACAATAATGCAATTACGCTAACGAGGAACCCCACATACTTATACTATGGCTGGAGTGATGATGGCTGAAGTGAAGCATGTGAGAATGATGTTGGTGGCCGTTGCCCCGCCGATACCGTTGGTGACGCCACTCAAGAAGAAAGGTGGAAGAGGAGAAGCGCCGCGCCAGCCACACTTTGCGAGCCCGAACAGAGAGCGACCGCACCCCCAAGGCACCCCCTTGTAGGCCACGCCTGCTAGGCCCTGCGACATTGGCGCGTATAGAGAGACCACCCCCTGCGCACCCCCGCTGGTGTCGAGAAAGTGCCACTCCTGCTAGGCCCTGCGACATGGGCGCGTAAAGAAAGACCACCGCCTGCGCACCCCCTCTGGTGTCGAGAAAGTGCCACGCCTGCTAGGCCCTGCGACATGGGCGCGTATAGAGAGACCACCCCCTGCACACCCCCTCTGGTGTCGAGAACATGCCACGCCTGCTGGGCCCTGCGACATTGGCGCGTATAGAGAGACCACCCCCTGCGCACCCCCGCTGGTGTCGAGAAAGTGCCACGCCTGCTAGGCCCTGCGACATTGGCGCGTATAGAGAGACCACCCCCTGCGCACCCCCTCTGGTGTCGAGAAAGTGCCACACCTGCCACGCCCTGCGCCATGGCCCGCATATAGAATAAACGCCCCGCTCGGGGACCACCCCCTGCGCACCCCCGGTGGTGTCGAGAATATGCCGTGCCTGCCACGCCCTGCGCCATGGCCCGCATAGACGCCGCGCTCGGAGACCACCCCCTGCCACCCCCTACGAGGTCGAGAAAGTGCCACACCTGCCACGCCCTGCGCCATGGCCCGCATAGACGCCGCGCTCGGAGACCACCCCCTGCGAACCCCCTACGGGGTGAGGAAAGTGCCACACCTGCCACGCCCTGCGCCATGGCGCCCACGCCGGCGCTCGGAGACCACCCCCTGCCATGCATCGCCCTACGGGGTGAGGAAAGTGCCACACCTGCCACGCCCTGCGCCATGGCCCGCATAGACGCCGCGCTCGGAGACCACCCCCTGCGCACCCCCTACGAGGTCGAGAAAGTGCCACACCTGCCACGCCCTGCGCCATGGCCCGCATAGACGCCGCGCTCGGAGACCACCCCCTGCGCACCCCCCTACGAGGTCGAGAAAGTGCCACACCTGCCACGCCCTGCGCCATGGCCCGCATAGACGCCGCGCTCGGAGACCACCCCCTGCGCACCCCCTACGAGGTCGAGGAAAGTGCCACACCGCCACGCCCCTGCGCCAGACCCGCATAGACCGCCGCGCTCGGAGGACCACCCCCTGCGCACCCCCTGCGGCGTCGAGAACATGCCGCGCCTGCCACGCCCTGCGCCATGGCCCGCGCAAGCGCCCCGCTCGGGGACCATTCCCTGCAGCCCCCGGTGACGTTGAGAATGCGCCGCGTATGCCATGCCCTGCGCCATGGCCCGCATAGACGCCGCGCTCGGAGACAGCCCCCTCGGAGACCACCCCCTGCGCACCCCCTACGAGGTCGAGAAAGTGCCACACCTGCCACGCCCTGTGCCATGGCCCGCATAGACGCCGCGCTCGGAGACCACCCCCAGCGCACCCCCTACGGGGTGAGGAAAGTGCCACGCCTGCCACGCCCTGCGCCATGGCCCGCATAGACGCCGCGCTCGGAGACCACCCCCTGCGCACCCCCTACGAGGTCGAGAAAGTGCCACACCTGCCACGCCCTGCGCCATGGCCCGCATAGACGCCGCGCTCGGAGACCACCCCCTGCGCACCCCCTACAGGGTCGAGAAAGTGCCACACCTGCCACGCCCTGCGCATGGCCCGCATAGACGCCGCGCTCGGAGACCACCCCCTGCGCACCCCCTACGAGGTCGAGAAAGTGCCACACCTGCCACGCCCTGCGCCATGGCCCGCATAGACGCCGCGCTCGGAGACCACCCCCTGCGCACCCCCTACGAGGTGAGGAAAGTGCCACACCTGCCACGCCCTGCGCCATGGCCCGCATAGACGCCGCGCTCGGAGACCACCCCCTCCGCACCCCCTACGAGGTCGAGAAAGTGCCACACCTGCCACGCCCTGCGCCATGGCCCGCATAGACGCCGCGCTCGGAGACCACCCCCAGCGCAACCCCTACGAGATCGAGAAAGTGCCACACCTGCCACGCCCTGCGCCATGGCCCGCATAGACGCCGCGCTCGAAGCCCCCACCTCAGCCGTGCTGCGCTGCGCCGTGCTGTGCTGCGCTGTGCTGTAATGTGCAGCTGTGTGCTGTGCTGAGCTTTGCTAGGCTGTGCTGTGCTGTGCTGCGCTGCGCTGCGCTGTGTTATGCTGTGCTGCTTGAGATGTGTGCTTGTGTGCTTGTGTGTTTGTGTGTTTGTGTGTTTGTGTGTATGTGTGTGTGTATGTGTGTATGTGTGTATGTGTATGTGTGTGCTGTGGTGTGCTGTGCTGTGCTGTGCTGTGCTGTGCTGTGCTGTGCTGTGCTGTGCTGTATACTGTGTGTGCATTTGTGCTTGTCTGCATGTGTGTATGTGTGTACGTGTGTATGTGTGTGCTTTGATGTGCTGTGCTGTGCTGTGCTGTGCTGTGGGTGAGGGAGGAAGGAAGAGGAGGTGAGACGCGGGTGCGGCGCGGGTTGGAAGAAAACAAGAACCCCACTAAGCATGTGGGGAAAAACGTTCAAAGCAAAAACATTTGCAAATCTTCAGCAAAGACCCAGAACTAAGCTCGACCCAGACCAACCAGACCATATGCAAACAAAAACTGCAATGCAACAACAAACTGCAATGCAAAACAAACTGTTCTTCGGTGGTCGTAGTGGTTGGCGCTGCCTCCCTGGACCTGCCCTAAGCCACTCTCGCCCGAATCCGCCGACCCTGTCGGCGTGTGGATCCCCTGTCGGCGTGCGCTCAGTCGACGCATCAGTTGTCCTCTTTCCCTGCCTCTCCGTCGTCCCTTTCCCTGCACCCTCCTCTTCAAGTCTGCCAGCGAAAGAAAACGGTAGCAACTTCGAACTTAAGTCGAAGGGAAGCCCCTTCCCTTTGATCCTTCCCCCGCCGAAGGGGGGGGTCCCGGGGGGGGTCCCGGGGGGGTTCCAGGGGGGGGTCAGATACGCATCCGCCCCTGGGCGTCCCGGAGCCTCAAAAAGCGCCAAGACGCGCCAAGAGGGCCCCAAGCAGGCCCAGAAAGAGGACCACGAACCGACATTTCGAGCTTCCCGCCCCAAAAAGGTCCCGGAAGGCCTCAAGAGCCCATCAAGGGGCCCGAAGAGGCCCCCAAGAGACCCCCAAGAGGCCCAACAGAGGCTCCAACAGGCCCAAAAACATCCAAGAGGCCTTTCAACCATAACCCCAGCACGGTGGCGGGAAGGGCCGCAGGCCACAAGGCTCCCTGTCTGTCTCTGCTACGACTCCCTTGGCCCACATGGGGAACATCTCCTTCGCCTTCTCCTGCTCCCCATCCACCTGAATCCCTCTCCTCCTCCTCCTCCTCCTCCTCCTCCTCCTCCTCCTCCTCCTCCTCGTATTCGTCGTCGTCGTCTTCAGGGTCGGCGGCACCGGCCGTAGGGCCTTAGCAATCCTAAGGTTTCAGGACCAAGCTCAAACCAGACCAACCAGACCAGCCAGACCAGGTGCAAGTCAAGACTGCAGTGCAAAAAACTGCAAAGCAACGAAAAGCAGCAATGAAAAAACAACTGATTTTCGGTGGTCGTAGTGGTTGGCTCTACCTCCCTGGACCTCCCCTGAACCACTCTCACCCGAATATGAAGCTGAGGTTTCAGGACTAAGCTCCAACTGGGCCAACCAGACCAGCCAGACCAGATGCAAAACAAATGCAATGCAAAAAAACTGTAATGCAATACATGTTCGGTGGTTATAGTGGTTGGCGCTGCCTCCCTGGACCTCCCCTAAACCACTCTCATCCGAATCTGAAGCTAAGGTTTCAGGACCAAGCCCAAACCAGACCTAACAGACCAGCCAGACCAGATGCAACAAAAACTGCAATGCAAAAAACTGCAAAGCAACAACAAAAAAAACAACATGCAATGCAAACTATTCTTCGGCGGTCGTAGTGGTTGGCGCTGCCTCTCTGGACCTCCCCTAAGCCACTCTCGCCCGAATCCGAAGCTAAGGCTTCAGGACTGAGCACAAACCAGTCCAACCAGACCAGCCAGACCAGATCCGAAGCCTCAAGCTCAATCGTAAGGTTGAAGCTTCAAGCTTGCCCTTTGGAAGCTTGGCGTCCCGCCGTGCGCTGCACGGCTAAGGACTTTATATAGACCAGGAGGACGGAGGAGGAGGGAGGTCACGGTGACCGCGGTCCACTCTCGCCAGAGTCGAAGGTTCAAGGACTTTTCCCCCTGCTCACAGGAAGCCCCCACAGGCGTCCCCCGGGTCACCGACGAGACCCCTTGCCTGCAAGCAGGCGTAGGGCTCCCAGTGCGTTGACCTGGGGGCCACCTGGGGGAATTCCACCGAGCGTGGGGGAGGGTGGTCTGGTCAAGAGGTGGCGTTGGTAGCGGCGGCGCGGGCCAGTGCAAGCTGGGCGGTGCCACTCTCGCCGAGGTGGAAGGCACAAACGGCTCTCCCATAAGCGCCCACTGGCTCCACGACTGGCACCCTCACCTGCCAACCATCTCCACCTCCTCCTCCTCCTCCTCCTCCTCCTCCTCCTCCTCCTCCTCCTCCTCCTCATCCTGGTCCCCTCCCCCCGGAGTGGCCGGCCCGCCCGTCGCAAGCAGCCGCAGCGGGTGCAGGATTCGGGCCCGTGCGCGCTCCTGGGGGCCAGCCTCGTGCTCCGAGGGCTCCGCGGGTTCGCCCTGGACGCAGGGGGAGCGGGGAGGAAGGACAAGAGGGGGCACTGTGGTCTGCCACCGTCACCGTGCCGTGGGCATTGACTGAAGTGTCCTGCGCACCCTCCTGAGAGGCGGGGGTGCATCCATGGCCACCGCCGGGCTCTATCTTCGCGGACCCCCATGGGCGGCGATCATGGATAAATCCCCACCTCTGACCTTCAGGGGCCCAGGACATCGGATTCCCGGGCGCTCTTGGGCGCCTCTGGGGCTTCCCGCGTAACTTGCTTGGGGGGGCAGGCAACCCGCAGGCGGCCCAAGAGGGAGGGCCCCGAAACGATTCAAGAGGGCCCCAGGACGGGCAAAGAGGGCCGTCTTTCGCTGGACGTTTCTCGACACGGGCGTTTCCAAAAGGCAGGGGCGGCGGTGATTTACCGTAGGCGTCGTCGATAATCCGCCACTGCGCGTACAACGGTTGATGTTCGGTTCGCCTCTTGCGAAGCAGTATACGTAGCCAGGTGCCCCCGACGCAGCGAGCCCAACATGAGTGCATATGCGTTACCGAGTCCTTGCGCTCTTGGGTGCTCAGGAAAGCATGCCAGCATAAAGATCATGGTGCCGGGTTCCATGGTCGGTTGAGGCGGATTCATGCTGCAGCGCAACTGGATACTGCTGGCATGTGTTTCCTTGTCGGTGCCCTTCTGCTCATGGCTCGTCTTTGTGCTGATTTGGAAAGCCTTGTTGCTTCTGGTCCTGTGCTGGCTCCACTCCTTCGCCAGCTTCCATTAGGAGCAGCCATGGGCAGCCCCATGCGTGGCCCTCGGGATGACCAGGGAGCATGGCGGCTGGCACGAGCGAAAAACAGTCATTCTTCTTCTCACCATCGTCATCATCACCACCACCACCATCAGCAGCAGCAGTAGCATCAGCATCAGGATCGGCATCAACATGAGCATGAGCATTAGCAGCAGCAGCATCATCATCATCATCATCATCATCATCATCATCATCATCATCATCATCATCAGCATCATCATCATCAGCAGCAGCAGCGTCATCATCCTCATCGTCATCATCATCATCATCAACAGCATCACCATCATCGTCATCATCAAGATCTGCCGCAGCAGCAAAAACACCAGCAGCATCATTATCATCTTCATCATCATCATTATAATCATCCTCATCCCCATCAGAATCAGCATCGCCATCATAAGTATCAGCATCATCATCGTCATAATCATCATCAGCAGCAGCAGCAACAGCATCCTCATCAGCATCATCGTCATCATCAGCATCAGCATCGTCATCCTCATCATCAGCATCACCATCATTAGCATGAGCAGCATCACCGTCAGCATCGTCATCATCATCATCATCATCATCATCATCATCATCATCATCATCATCATCATAATCATCAGCATCAGCATCATCGTCATCAGCATGGTCATCATCAACGTTATTCAAATCAACCATCCACCATCCACCATCCATCATAGATCTCCTCCTCCTCCTCCTCGACGCCTCCTCGAAGTCGGGGCCCAGCGTGCCCTCCGTGAGGTAGCCCTCGAGCAAGAGAGCGGATGCGCAGGCGAAGCCACCAGTGGCCAGCATCCCCACGATGGGGACGAGGGTGACGCTGAAGCAAACGGCGCCGAAGAGAACGTAGGAGTACAGACGTTCACAGGGGGGCAACCTAGACCACCAGACTTTGTGTCTTACGCCCTCGCGATGCGCGGCGCACGGGTTACCATCGCACCCTCGCACCGCCTCCGCGCTGGAAAAGGGCTCCTAGGCCGAGAAATGCGAGGCGCGTTTGCTGTCGCGCCCCTGTGGGTGACTCAGGGGAACCGCGACCCTGCGCCTTCCTCCTCCCACTCATCCACCTCCTCCTCCCCCCTCCTACTCATCCTACTCCTGGACGAACAGATTGCCATCCGCGGCCAGGTCGGGTGAGGAGGAGGATGAGCAGCAGCAGCAGCAGCAGCAGCAGATGCACCAGATGGGGAAGAAGGACGGAGTAGGACGACGCGAAGGGATGAGGGGGAGGGAGGATGAGGGCGGAGCAGGAAAATTGGAAGGGAGGACAAGCATGAGGAGGAGGAGGAGGAGGAGGAGGAGGAGGAGGAGGAGGAGGAGGAGGAGGAGGAGGAGGAGGAGGAGGAGGAGGAGGAGGACGAGGACGAGGAGGACGAGGTCATGCGTATTGGTTTTTGTTATTGCCCTCCCCCTGCAACGGTGGGGGGTGGGGGCTGCGAGAGCTCCAGTTCCTAGTGGACAGACAACTCCGCGGGTCCAAGGTCCAAGAAGGAGGAAGAAGAGGGAGGAAGGAGAGGAGGCGGAGGAAGAGGGACGGGGAGGGGGGAGGAGCAGCAGGATTGAGGATCGATGTTTTTGATGTGTCTGGCCCTGTTCGGGCCCCAGTGGCGCCTACGGAGGCCTCTGGAGGCTTCCGAGGGCCTCGGGGGGGACCTCCAGTCACTTCTGGGGGAGAGGGAGGAGCAGCAGGAGGGAGGGACGAAAGGAGTCGGCCCTGGCTCCCCCTGTGAGATGGCAAAGCATGTGCTTCAGCTGGCTGCTAAAACTTTTGTAGCCGATGATCGTCAGGAGGTCACTGATATTCAGCCACGTATACAGCCAGCCGTTCGCGAGGGCGAACAATACCTGCCCGATGATTGGAAAAAAATTCAAAGATAGGGTAGCAAGAAGCAGCGCCAAAGACACAATGGTGGAACACAGGCATCCCCACGGACCGCCCTCGGGCGCCTCGTCAGTGAGATTGTGCTTCTCCAGGAAGTCTGTATATGCAGCTCGTTCTTCCAGGCAGAGCATCGCGAGTTTGCCAAAGACCTTTGAAAAGAGAGCCTGGAAGCTGATGTAGGCAACGAGTGCTGCCTCGAAGGGGGCGGCGACCTTGAGCCCTATCTTGACATTATCCCGATTGTCTTCGTTGAATATCTCAGTGAAGTTGTGGCCGAAAAAAGAGGGCTCGTACTCCTCAGAGAACTTTTCCAGCTCAGTCACCTGCCAATCCTCCACGGCCGGGACATACAGCGCAACAACAACACCTATAGTCAGAACGAAGCTGATCACAAGTGGTAACACCATATGCCCCCACATCGAAGGGCGCATCAAGAATATCAGCATTCCCCAAATCGGGGTAAGACATGGGCAGAAATTCGCCATGGAAGCTGGCAATGCTCGCGACAACAGACGTCTTCCCGTGCACTTCGAAGCTTTAGCCGTAACGGCTACTGAAATTGCGCCAAGCACCAATGAGAGGGAGAAGAAGGACGACGACGATGACGACGACAACGGCGACGACGACGACGGCGACGACGACGAGAAGGGAGGGTCCCTGACGTTCCCTTCCCTCCCCCTCTCCACCTCTCTCCCTGCCCCCTCCTGTCCCCCTCTCTCCCCGTCTCCATTCCACTGAACCCTCTACCCAGAGGGTTCTTCAAACAACAAACACTTGTATACACACATCTGTTTTTGTCATAAAAACTGTTATATATACATAAAAAAACATACAGATGTATATATATATATATATACATATGTTTGGGTCCCAGAAATAACTATACATAACTTTATTGGTAGTGCCATGATGCCGTTTCGTTTCCGACCATACACTTGGCAGAAACGTGCCGCATACTCATATGTTATCAAAGTAGCATAAGATAGCGTGCCACAATCATACGCTGGACGCCTTACCCGCATAAGGTTTGCGGATTATGCGTGGCGGCGCGGGCGCGAAGTCGATGTGTCTTGGGTTGAACGCCGCAGGGGCGCGCAGTAATCGAGTTAGGCCCCGAATGTAGATCTCCCACGGGCGAGGCGGGGCGGGATGCACCGAAACGATGCAGCAGGGGGTAAGGGTGAGCAGGCGAGAAGAAAGCATGATTCCTGAGTTGTGCAACCGCAGCCATCTGAGGCCCAGCTTTCCACACGCAAACACAATGGTTCCGAAGAAAGTAAAGAAAACGATCCAGACACGACGCTCGGCAAATGATTTCTCTCGTCATGCAGGCGGTCCAGATTTGGTGGTTATGCTGAAGAAGCCTACAATTATCCCGGCAGCATCATGTATGGCAACAACCCCAGCCAATCCAAGATCCGCAGTGACAAAATCAACATCAAAATGATGAAGGAGCTTATCGAGCTCCAGGGAGACAAGACTGGATTCAGACCTCTGGCTATGATAACTGATTTGCAAAAGATTCCCGAGACATTCGATGGCCCCACCTTTTCGGAAGATGATGCTGTATCGTGGGCAAAGCGCCACAATAAAAGGATTCGCACCATGATGAGGCACACGAAACAGTTGCTTGGTAGCAAGCCTAAGTGGCTCATGAAGTTGTGGGTCCCCGAGAACTAATTCTAGGACTCCGATGACGACGAGGAGGGGAAGGGCCAGGAGAACGCCGAGGAGTCGGACTCCGTCACGGAGTCGGACATGGAAGCCAATTTGAAGGGCGCTAAGGATAGAGATCCCTTGGGGGGCGCAAGCGATATTTTTTTAGAGGGCCGAGGGTAGGAGCAGGAGGAGGGATGGCATGAGGAGGTTCACGAATCAGGTGAATGGAGGAACGTTGACGTTCAGGAATGATTCTCCCTCACGTCTCCCCCTCCTCCTCCTCCTCCTCCTCCTCCTCCTCCTCCTCCTCCTCCTCCTCCTCCTCCCCCATCCTCCTCATCCTCATCCTTCTCAAGCTCTGCCTTTCTCTTGCTCAGTTTCATCTTGCCAACCCCCTCCTTCGCCCTCCTAGATTGCGCAACGCTCCGAGTGATTGGCTCCTTAGGATCAGGGCTGGTTCCGAGTGTCGCCTCGAGAGGGCCATGGTCACAATCGGCAAATTCCTGGGAGACGAAACACGGTGGCAGTAACTCGATTTAGTAGCCTGGGACTCCTCGTACCCAATGTCATCCTGGGAACCAATCCTCCTCCTCCCCTGATTTTCCCTTCTCCACTGCCGCCTCCGAGAGGACATGATCCACGGCTTCGATCGCGAGAACATGCTGGCGTGGCGGCAGAAGCCCAACGCCAAGAAGACCGACCTTCCTGATTTTTGCTCGCAGATGCATCCTGCGCCAGGCACGCCTCAACATTGACAACGCTTAGTGTCCTAATGTGGCGTTGATCGTCTTATCCCTTATCGCTCTCCTCCTCTTCTACCTCCGGCATCCCTCAGCCCAGGCAGCACCAAGACGTCCCCGATGATGGCGCGCTGGGCCGACGGGATGGTCCGCGAAGTACCCCAGGTGGCCCGACGCTTGCATGACTGCCAGCTCTCGGGTTGCGACGTGCTTCTCTCAATACACAGATCTGTATACAGAGATATACATATATGCATAAAAATATAGATATATATATGTGTGTATATATAGATACATACATATATATGTATGTATGTATAGCCACCTAAATGTGTGTTATCATTCCTCCCTGCCTACCTCCCTCCCTCATTCTGCCTCGCACGCCCATGCGCGTTCTCTCTCCCTCCCATTGGTGTTTGGCGAATCCCTACCCTGGAGGGCGCCGTGAGAGAGCAGCACGTGGGCGAGCACCTCCTCCTCCTCCTCCTCCTCCTCCTCCTCCTCCTCCTCTTCTTCTTCTTCTTCTTCTTCTTCTTCTTCTTCTTCTTCTTCTTCTTCTTCTTCTTCTTCTTCTTCTTCTACTTCTTCTACTTCTTCTTCTTCTTCTTCTTCTTCTTCTTCTTCTTCTTCTTCTTCTTCTTCTTATTCTTCTTCTTCTTCTTCTTCTTCTTCTTCTTCTTCTTCTTCTCTTCTTCTTCTTCTTCTTCTTCTTCTTCTTCTTCTTCTTCTTCTTATTCCTCTTCTTCTTCCTCTTCTTCTTCTTCTTC